ATGGATGCTCTGCAAAAACGGACGGACTCTTTGTGAAAGTTAACATGGTTGCCATATGGATGCTCTGGAAAAACGGACGGAATCTTTCTGGACGTTGACGTGGTTGCCACATGGATTCTCTGCAAAAACGGACGGAGTCTTTCTGGACACATCTGCATGGTTGCCACATGGATGCTTTGCAAAAACGGACGAAATCTTTCTGGACGTTATCATGGTTGCCACATGGATGCTCTGCAAAAACGGAAGGAGTCTTTCTGGACGCTAACATGGTTGCCACATGGATGCTCTGCAAGAACGGACGGAGTCTCTCTGGACGTTAACATGTTTGCCACATGGATGCTTTCTGGCAAAGACCGGCGTCATAACGACGAGAGTCTGCGAAAGCATAGAAACACTAAGAAAAAACGTGCGAATCACCCGTAAAAATGCAGTCAAAACGGCTTCTCCAGCACAAAACGCGCTCCAAAACAGCAAAAACTCGAGTTTTGGACCCGAGACAAGCAAAATTTTTGCGCAAGCAAAAATTAGCAAAAGAGCAAGAACGAACAAAAAAACAGATAAGAAATGTGCAAAAACCCGAGGAAAACGCACGCCAGACAGAAAAATATCGAAGCAGGAAGAACGAAAAGATGCCGAAAAAGGGTCGCGGGGCGGCGTGTCAGCCAGCTGGCAAAAACAACAACAATAATCACACTGGTAACCTTAAAAGCTTTATTTGTATCTGCTTAGGCGGAGAACCTGAAAGCTGCCGCCGAAGCTGAAGTCCACTGCTGAGTCGCTGCTGAGAGACGCTGAGTCAGCTCAACCAGGGTTTGGGGCGTAGGGTTTAGGGCTTAGAGTTTAGGGTTTAGGGCTTAGGGCTTAGGGTTTAGGGCTTAGGGTTTAGGGCTTAGGGTTTGGGGTTTAAAGGGGTTTAGCGTTTAGGGCTTGGGGTTTAGGGATTTAGGGAACAGGGTTTGGGTTCAATCAATAGGGCTTTGCGGTTTGGGGTATCAGAATCTTCCAGAAGCCAGGGACACTTGAACACAAGCCTGACAGGTCCTTCTGACAAGCACCTCAGCCATTCCTTCGTCGCCACCCCACCTTGGGCTGTCTTGCATTTTGCTTCCAGGTCGAAGATCCCGACCAGCAGCGGGCTCGGAAAGCTCCTGGTAGAGCCACATCTGTCTTTACAGCACCCCGAAAAGCAATCGGCGGTGACTGTGATGTAATGCACACAAGGCCAATACATTCTACTGAAACAGAAGATGACCGTACAAGGCCAGTGACAGGAGGAAGACACACTGTCTCAGCAAGGAAACTGCAGAGTTGAGACGCGAGACAGCAACGGCAGCGGCAAAAACGAGAGCACTCCTTGCATTAAGCCACTGTAGTATGCATTCAGTATCCAGATGTTGACATGTGGAAAGGCCGTTTTACCCTAAATCCCAAAAACATCCCCTAAGCCCTACACTCTGAACCCTAACTACCAGGAGCAGATCAAGCTTTAAGCTTCTCTCTTCAGGAAGCTCAGGGAGTTGGTGAAGGATGCCGGCCACAGGCCACATGCCTCGGGTTCAGGGCTGAGGGCCTGGGGGAGTGGGGTTGCTTCCGGGCTTAACGGTTGATCATGTGTCTGGAGCTCAGCTCGAACGATACACCATTATGACCTGTAGCCTAAACCCCAAACCCTGAACTTTCAAAAGCCCGGATCGTAGGTCTTTTAGTCGGATGCAGTCAGGAAAGGGCGACTTAAACGGACCTAGACCCATAACCCTTAGCTTAGGTTTGTTAACGCTGCTTCCTCCCGACTTGATGTCGTTGTGTAGTCTCACCAAGCCGGCTGATGACCACATGCCTCGCCTGGATTGTCCGAGTGCCAGTGCCGACACCCTAAGCCTAAGCCTTCGGCAGCTGAAAGCATCGAGCGAGTAACCCTAAGCTTACCGCAGCATCAGGGAGGACAGCAGCTCGGAGAAGGAGAAGAAGAAGAGCGACTTGGCCGCAGTTTCAATGAGCTCCGTTTTTGTGTAAGGGGCTGCAATGAGAAATTTGGAGTGAGGCAAAAAGAAGAGCAAGAAGAAAAGGAAGAAGAAGTCTCTCTGAAGCAGTTAATCTCACAGGTTCCGTGCTTGGCTTGCCTGTGCTGTATTCAGGAGCAGCACCAGTAGCAGCAGTTCAAGCAGCAGCAGCAGCACCAATGCTCCCAACCGCAAGAAGAGGGGCACCATGTTCAATAGATTCTCGTCTGCAAGTACTAGCTGGTGTGGCCGAAGTAATTCGATACTCCAGTCCTTGGGGTTTTGTGGCTTGCTGCCTGTCTTGATGCAGAATCGGCGCTGGAAATCGCCGAAAAAGACAAGAAACGCCACAGAAAAGACCGCGAAGGTGGCAGAATTCTATGCTGTGCTCTGGGGAACGCAGAACTTGGTTGTGGGCTGGGCATGAGCGTAAGGTTCTTCTGCCGGGAACATGCGAAAGCACTTCCTTCTCCGGCACTCGTGCGGACCTTGAGAACGAGCAATAGAAGCATGGAGAACACACATATGTCAGCGCTGCAACCTAACGTACCGCGATTTGTAGCTTTTGGTAATCTCGGATGCGCACCCTGAATCCAGGTCTCGCACTAGCAGCCTAAACCCTGAACTCTTACACCCTAAAACACGTGCCCGAAGTAAGCCTCGGCCCGAGTTGCGCCCGTCCAAATTGCGGAAGTGCCAGAGTCAGAGAACCCAATACCCCTTAATTAAGGAATATACCTTAAATCATAATATTAAGGCCCCTATAATTTAGGGTATCCTTAAAATCATAATATTAAGGCCCCCTATAATTTAGGGTATCGCTTAAATCATAATATTAAGGCCCCCTGTAATTTAAGGTATCCCTTAAATCATAATATTAAGGCCCCTATAATTTCAGGTCTCTAATTCCTTAATTAAGCTCCACTGGGCTCTCTGCTTGGAGGTTCACTGGGTAGTTTTAAGTGGGGTCATAAGTAGGGTAAATATAGCTATAACCCATATTAGGGGACTTATAACCCTACTTATAACTCCCTAAACCCTAAACCCTAAACCACCCATGAACCTCCAAGTGGGGAGTCTGGAGATCCTGGCAGGCGGCGCAGCGGCTGCCGCGGCCCTGCTCGGCCTACGCTCTCGGGCCTAACGTGGGGGGATTTTTTTGGGGATTGGGGTCACTTAGGGGTTTGGGGGTTTAGGGGTTTTAGGGGTTTAGGGGTTTAGGGTTTAGGGGTTTCCCGGCTGGTTGCGAGAGTCCTGGATGCAAAAGGGTTTAGGGTTTAGGGGTTTAAGGGTTTAGGGGATTTTATGGGCTTGGGGTCACTTAGGGGTTTGGGACCCGGGAGCATGCGTCTATGCATGGTTTCGGACCGAGTTACATCCCAGTAGGGGGATTTTTATTGCATTGGGGAATGCTATATACACACACTTGTCATTCGGGAGATGAGCTGTTGCGCCTTGCTGGTCATCGAAATCTGGCCTTGGGCAGTGTGGCTAAGTATAACTCTTCTCGGTTTGCATATTCTACCGCGACCGCAGCAACCGCCACCACAGACAGCAGCAGCGCAACAGCAACAGCAACAACAGCAACAACAGCAACAGAAACATCAACCAGAGCAGCAAAACACCAAATGAACTTCGTAGCAATAACAAGTGAGACATATTCAGAGTTGTTCGAGCGGCGTTTGAATAGAATTTTCGTTCTCGGTGTGAAGCCAGGTTTGATGGACGGGCAAGTTGACGCTTTCATCCGCTTGTTGTCGGGTACATCTTTAGCTTCTTGACGGAGCCAAGGGCATTGCAGGACTAAAAACTTGTATAGTAGCAGTTTACACTTTACATGTTTAAGGGTACAATAGCCCTTATGGAACTGAGAGGTTAACTCTTTTGTACCTATGAATGGTTTCTTGTGGGACAGGTTGGGGTCCGGAAGCGCAGGTTGAGATCTGGATGCACTCGGCTTCAACGGAATATGTCGGGAGTACCGTGGTAGTTCCGTGGCTGACGAGCACGAAATTCCCAGCCCCGGAAGTGGACAAAACTAATTTCGTATGCTCAGAATGCAATACCATTCGACATGGCAACCTATAAGAACAAAAGATTGACTTACTTATTATGATATCATACCGTAACATATCTGAAAGCCATATTATAGTTCATAATCGTTTGGTCATCTAGTCATTTATATTAATTATAGTGCTTTCGTATGAGATAAGATTCGATATATACATATATATATATATACACACACATATATATATATATATCTAGATGTACAGATATATATAAGCACAAACTTTTCTTATTTAATTAGATCGTGAAATTCACATATATGTCATTCGTCTGTGTATGTCAACTTGCCGCTATTCAGAATTCGATATATCATCCTCGCTGGATTATTTGATATTTCCATTTTGGTAGATAATTTCTTAACTATTCCTGGAGATGTCGGTCTGAAATTTTTGAGAATTCTATACGTATGGTCGAGATTCAAATGATTTTTCAAGATTTTCTAATTTTTGCAATAGAAAAAGACATATCAGAAATTTTAAATAATTTTCGATTGAATTATTAGATTACCATCGATATTATTATCGTCGTGATATATTTCAAATATCTTGATATTTTAGGCATGATTATGTATTTTAATTTTATTTATGATATCGTGAATTTAAGTTTTATTGAATATAATTTTTTATAGATAAATATAATGATTATATAGATATTCGGATTTTTTTTAGCAGAATATCGAAATTTTTTAATATGATATCGATTTTGATCGTATTAATAATTAGAAAAATTGAAATTTCGAGATTTCTAAATATTGGAATTTTGATGATAAAAAGATTTTATAATATATAATCTAAATA